AAACCCTTGCTCAGAACATAATTCTGTCTTCCTGTGCCCTCCATAATCTTCACCTCATACGAGAAGACAGTATTCCTCCCAAGCAAAGGGTTTATCTGCCACCTGGTTTCGCCGACACCTACAAGTCAAATGGGTGGTTAAAGCCAGGCAGGTGGCGGAAAACAGTTCCCAGCTTGGAGAAAACTATTTTCAGAAAACTTGTGCAGCAAGAAGTTGGTGGTGTTGTCATGCGTCACAACCAAAATTATCCTACAATTGTACGAGAAGATTTTGTAGAACTTGTTATTGCTGAACCAGTGCCCTGGCAGTGGGAAGAATCTTTGTGATATTCTTTTTATTGTATTGTTTTAAACCAACAGGGTTTCATTCATGTTCTGTGATAGTGTTGTATTATTAATTGTATGTACTCTAAAGAAATGCAGAATGACAAATTTTTTGCATCACAGATTCAATTGTATAGTTTACATTGTTTTTGGTGTTTATCCTTTTTGAAAGTGTGCTCGTCGTGTAATTTTGATAATAATAAATTGTCCTAAATATAGAAATTTAAATACTTTAGTAATTTGTGTGATGAACCTTTACACTTTCTATCACTATTGAACTGGGGGGAGTGGGCAGTCAATTAGAAGGCCGAAATTCTCTAATTTCTCTCTTTATATGATTATATAAACCGTTGGAACTAAAAACAATATCACACATTTATACAGAATGACAAGCGTAGGTACTTTGGTACTTGTTGAATCACAGCAAATATTGCCAATGGAAGCACATTACTCCGGATGGCGTCTCTCCCACTCCTCGTGGAGAACGGTCCCGAGACGAAGCATGGCGCTACCAGCATGACGGGGTGGGAGCTGGCGCAGAGTCCAGGCCTGCAGCAAGGCAAAGTAGTGGAAACCGTCAGGCTCTTTCGGCTGCTGGTTCCTCGCTATGAGGAACTGGTTCAGAAGTTCAGTTTCTGGGTTGGCGTGCTGAACTTCTGCTGGCCCGTCCACTCCTCCCTCATAGAGGCGGTTGGCTTGATGTGCCGCGATCTGGACTTGGCCCACTTGGCGGGCAGCTTGTCTCCGCTCCTCGTGAGCAAACTGCACCCGCTGTGCCATCTGGTCTCGACGCGCACGAGCAGCATCACGGTGAGGTCCGCGACCATTCCCGGCAACGCCGCGCTGCCTCGGTTCACCGCGGTTCAGCGCAAATCCACCGCGGCCACCTCTGCGGTTCACGGCGAATCCGCCGCGATCACCACCACGGAAACCAGTGACCCTGCCGCCGCGTCCACCACCACGAAGGGAGCTAGCCCTGCTGTTCGGGCTTCCCCCGTGGGTGGAGCTGTTCGCACGGTTCACGACGTTGTTGAACAGGTTCACTTGGGGACTCCCAACGTTGGAGCCGCTGCAGCTCAGGTTCAGCGGGCCGTCGTCACCCAGGCCGCCGTCCGGGCCGCCCTCGCTGCCACGCATGAACGCTGGAGTGTCATTAAGACACCTTCTTGCGGCGGAGTGCGATGGCCTCAGGGGTGACAGGTCCAAAGCGCCGTCCGGTCTCACCTCCCCCCCTCGGTGTGGAGTTCCACCAGGTTGGTTGTCCGCCGGGGGCGGGGGCAGCTGCGAGTGGGAAACTTCAGGGCTTACATGGGAGACTTGAGACTCGCCGCCGACGCCGCCGACGCCAACACCGCCGCCGCCGCCACCATCTTGATCGACGTTGGACTCTGGTTCAGGCACGCCCACTTCCTCCACGATGGAACTCAGCTCTGCAGCCTCCACCTGAACGACCTGTCGTCCAGCCCGTCCGCCGCCCCGCGTCCGCCGCCCCGTCCGCCGCCGCCCCGTCCGCCGCCACGCCCACGGGTCTTCTTCCCCTTCCTCTGCAACTTGCTCGCCGACGCGATGGACGAGTCCGAGCCTGCGTCCGAGGGCGAGTAGTTGGCCGGCGGCCTCCTGGTCCGGCTGGAGGTCCGCACCGTCACGTTGGCACGGTCAGCTGACGCGGGCAGATCCGGACCTCGCCTCCGCTTCTGCCGGTGCTGTTGCTTCTTTAGCCCTTCCGGTGTCAGGACGAGGATTCCGGGGATGCTCAGTCTCCGCGGTGACGATGGGGGCGGGCGCAGACCCTGCTCCTCCTCACGGCGCGCATTTGCGGCCGCAATTTGTTCGCAGCAGTCTTGACCAGCTGCAACATCAAAGGGAAAATGTAAGTCTCAGCGTGAAAAATATGGAGAGCCGCGGTGTCGCCACACATCAGACTGCTGAAGCCTGCCGCCTAGTAACAGCGGGGGGGCGTGCCTGTCGCCCGCACCGGCGGCCTAGCTGGGGGCCGGGGCCGGGAGCCCGGGCAGCAGGTAGGCGCGCCTGGCGCGTCCTCTGCCCACTGCCCACGGAGAGAACTCTCCACCACCGTGCCAATACCGCTACACACTTTGCTATCCCCGAAAGAAAAACCAAAACTGTTGACGGTCTTACCTGGTGCAGGTTCCACAATCAGACTGTGAGGAACGGGGTGCTCTGGCATTGCTCTGCGAATCTGCACACCTTCCAGCAGGGGTCCCACGTTCAGGTTCGACTCCCGGTATGGTCTTGCCTGCTCTTCGAGACAGTCCAGGAAGCTCAGCGGATCCGCGGCCTGGTTGAGGAGTGGCCCCTGTGCCTTTGATCCACTTCTCCTCCTCTTCTTATCTGCCCGTCTGACCGCCCTCCTATTTTTCCGCAAGCGACGAAAATTGTCGCTACAGAATTTTCCTGTAATAAATAAACAACTGTGTTACTATTTTGCCGGTAATATCACGCTGGCTAGTGCTGTCGCCTTACGCCCTCGCCTACGCCACCCAAGAGCAATTTGTCACTTACCATCGACGTGTGGCTCTATGAACCGCGATGCCACCTTCCTCCAGAGTGGCCGCTTGTTGATGGAGTGGTAGCGCGGCAGTTTGTGGTTGTACAGATACGGAAAGGGCCGCACTGCCTCAAATAAAGCAGCTTCGGAGTACGGAATCTTCGTAAACTCCCCCTGCTGATCCACATTTTCCTGCATGTCTTCTTCATCGCCTTGTTCATCCTCCTCTTCCTCATCCTCATCCTCCTCTTCACCATTATCCTGCTGATCACCACCACCATACTCCTCTCCATAGTCTTCACCATACTGATCTCCATCCTCCGCGTCCCAGTCCCAAACATTCGGACCCTGCTCGAAAGTCATCGTCACGCACAATCACACTCGCACTTTACTGTTAGCAGCGCACTTCGACCTGCCTCCACTGCGAATGATGAGTGTCACTTGCTGCTTTGCTGGCGCTAGCCGGGCCCCAGGGTTGTTA